CTTGTGGCCTTAACATGCATGTGAAAAGCTGAAATAAAAGTATTGCCAAATAAAAGAAAGGGATAATTCTTTTTGAAACAGACTAAAAAGGAAAGTAGGTCATTCTTTTTGAAACGGAGGAAGTAATTCATTAGAATAGAGTTGAAAAGCAGACATCTCCTGTAAATTAAACCAAGTGCACGCATAAAAAGAATTCTGCTTTGCAACTCATTCGAATAGAATTGAAAAGAAGATGGCCCCAAAGTTTAGACTAGTGGTAAGAGTGCAGTGCATGATGCTTGGGTTAGATGCACATCACAGTTTGGGTCTTCCTATAGATAAAAATCTGGTATTTAAGCGGAGAAGAGTAGAGGGTCCAACTTGTTATCTACTAGTTTCAAATCTTGCGCTATTGACCATCGAGGGCTTTTCAGTTATAAGAAAAGAGTTGAAAAGCAAACCTTTTCTTGTAAAGTCATAATGGGAAGCTATACCTTGATTTGTTGGAAAGAGATTAGGTAGTTTGGATAAATCTAATATTTGGATGCAGAACATCTTCATGCATGCATGTAAGCTTAATTTTACATTGTAGCCTGTTAACTCTCACTTATCCTCTTTGTTCTCAATTTTGTGGCAGTGGACAAAGTGGAAACTCTCAAGCGCTTTAAATTTAGCTTCGCTTTTGAGAATTCTAATGAGGAGGATTATGTCACTGAAAAATTCTTCCAGTCTCTGGTTGCTGGTATTAACTCTTGACTGTTAACTTTTATTCTGATTGGTTCACTTAGTTTCCAATGTATCTATTATTATCTCGAAAGCCCCCATCCCTCTATATTGATGCATTTTTTTTTTTGTTTTTCTGCAATGCAATATTTGTCACAAAAGACCATGAAGATATTAGCTTTAAAGTGTGCCATGAAGAACAAATGTTGCAAAAAAACGTAAACGTATGAGTACCTTTTGGTACTTCAAATATGTTTTGTATCTCGATTTGCATATTCTGGTACAGCGCACAGATGCTCAGCTCTTGCTCATTTTGAGAAGTTTTAGAAATTTTGTTGAAATGATTTTACATGAATTATCTTGGTTTAATCATTTTCTTTTGTCTTCCTGTGTTTATGATTTTTCACAAATTACTACTTCGGAATTAAGATTTATGGTGCTCAACTCTATGGTGCTGATCAAAGCAAGTTCGAATAAACTTGCAGGATCAATCCCTGTGGTGATTGGTGCTCCAAACATCCAAGATTTTGCTCCTTCTAATAATTCACTTTTACACATTAAAGAGCTGAAAGATGCTGAAACCGTTGCCAATACTATGAAGTACCTTGCAGCAAATCCTAGTGCATATAATAAGTTGTTAAGGTATGCTCAAAAAGTGGTGCTCTTCTTGCATCAAATTCTTATTTGATTGGAGTTCCTCTTGATTATAAGTCTTTTTTTTCTATCCTAAATTAACTCCTTTTTGGTTATCTTGAAGATTTATCCACTCTCAAAGAAAAACTTTTTTCCAACATCTTTCTATACTTTTTCAATATCTTTGCACTAAGAAAGTAACAAAGGCTTGTCTCTATAGTTACATACTCCCTCCATTTCAAAAAGAATGACCTCCTTTCCTTTTTAGTCTATTTCAAAAAGAATGACCTCTTTTTTTTTTTGGTAACATTTTAATTTCAGATTTCCACGTGGCATGTTTAAGGCCACAAGATTAAAGGGCAATTTTGTACATTTGACATAACTTTAATTTAGGGCCACAAGATTCAAAAGTCTTCTTTATTTTCTTAAACTCCGTGTCAAGTCAAACTAGGTCATTCTTTGTGAAACGGAGGGAGTAACTTTTACTACCTTATCCTAGTTTTCGACGTAGTGATATATTATTTTGGACTAATTAGAACTCCTGAATAGGGGTCTCAGTCTGCCGCTCCCCTTAGGCTTGCTGGGAGTTGTGATTGACCCTTTCCTTACAAAATTTATAAAAGGTTTCTTAAATTTCCTGGTTGTGGCTAACAAATGACTTGTTTTGATTATATAGGTGGAAGGTTGAGGGACCATCTGATTCTTTCAAAGCCCTGGTTGACATGGCAGCAGTTCACTCTTCGTGTCGTTTGTGTATCTTCTTAGCAACAAGTATTCGGGAGAGAGAAGAGCAGAATCCAAAATTTAAGAAACGTCCCTGCAAATGTACCAGAGATTCAGAAACTGTATATCATGTATATGTACGTGAAAGGGGGAGGTTTGAGATGGAGTCCATTTTCCTAAGGTATTTTCTGCTATGACTATAACTAGCATAATATATATATATATATAAGTGCATTTTCATCAATGTCCTCTCTGATTCTTTGAGGAAATGTCTCAAAATTTGAGTGTTTTTTCACTAAGTCATTAATGGGTTGCATTGTTTTGTCCAACCATTGTAGCATGAGTGATGATTTCAACTTTCTAGTCAATATTATGTAATATATGGTATTCAAAATGACATTTTGTTGGTAAAATTGACGTGTATGTTTTTTGGGGTAGTTTGCTTCTTAGTCAACCTTATGTGATATAAAGACATTGTAGGTGACATGAAATTGGTTCCGTTTATATGGTTAGTATGTACCATCTAAGTGCCAAAAAGTGTTGTTGGGAATGAAATAGGAGTGTTGTGAAAGTTGAGTTTATGGTGCAGAACTTAAAGGTATAGGGTGGTTAGAATTGCTTTCCAGGGGTCATATTTACCCTAATATTAAATGTGGGAGTTTAATATTTGCCCTTATAGACGTGGTAGTTCAAAATTAGCTATATATTATACATGGTGCTTTAAAATGGTGAAGGGTGGGGTTTGGTTAATAATAGGTGGCATTTCTTTTGTTTTAAAAGCATAAATTGTGCTCCCTCCGTCACATTTTATGTGACACCATTTGACTTGACACGGTGTTTAAGAAAAAAAAGGAACTTTTGAAACTTGTGGTCTAAAGCAATGCTTAGATATATGTATGGTTGTAGATCATTTCATTAAGAGAGGGAATCTTAAAGTTAAATTGTTTCTAATTATAGTTAGGGGACACTCTTTTTGGGACGGACTAAAAAGGACAGGGTGCCACATAAAGTGAGATGGAGGGAGTAACTTTTAATAGGGAAAACAGTTTCTGTTAGCCAATAATGGCAAATTTGAGGCATTTGGCTAATGGCAGGGTTACAAACAAGACACTCTTGAAACGAAGGGTAAAATTACTCTATATCGAATATGTATTAAGGGTATATTTGGCCCCTTACCTTTTTAATTATTCAGACTATCCAATAAAGCCCAACTGGTTAGTATTGGTGTGGCAGGTTTGGATATGTACTAACACTTGTGAGACCAATAACTTCTCATTTCTCCACTAATGAGAGTAAAGCTACCGCAAAGCTGCTCTTAGATATGTCTAGTATGTATCATAGTATCGACGTATGACTAGTCTTATTTATTTCTTGATTGAGTTGATATATAGAATGAAGCAGCGAAGTTCGAGAAAATATTTGGTAAATGGTGTTTGGTTCCCGCTAATTATGCCACTAGCTGGATCGTTAGCATGTTAAAGTTTGGGGGATCGGACCTTGAAAAAGAAATTTGGAAACCATTGTCATTATGTGAATTCTCTCTTGCACTTTTCCTTTGTCCAGCTGAGCATGTACAACTGTTTTCATGTCTCTTTCTTACAGCTTACCTAACTATTGATGTAATAATTCAATCAACGTCATTACTGGAACCTTTGCAGGTCATCTAATTTGTCGTTGGAGGCTTTTGAATCTGCAGTAGTGTCAAAGTTCAAATCTCTAAAGCATGTTCCCATTTGGAAAGAAGAAAGACCTGAAATACTACGCGGAGGAGATGAACTAAAACTCTACAGATTACATCCTCTTGGCATGACACAGCGACAGGCATTGTACAACTTCACATTCAAAGGAGACACTGATTTTAGGGATCACATCGAAAGCCACCCATGTGCAAAGTTTGAAGCCATATTTGTTTAGGATCACCGATCACGTGAAAAAACAGTGAGTCTCGACAGCAGGTTGTTGTAAGCCAATAGCGTTATGCTCATTATCCTTACAACCTACCCCATTGTCTACATTCTGGTTACGAATTTTTGCAGTGTAAAATGTTATCCTGTTGAGTAAGGATTTGATTATTACAAGGAGGCAGTCTAATTTTTGGTGGAAAATTCTCACTTTTTACATTTTCAAGGAAAAAGAAAGAGAGAAAGCTACAAACATTTAACCTTGAATTGACATGCTTAACCTCCCAAAGTAGTGTAGTTTGGGAATTTTCCCTAGCAGGATGGTTCTATCTGCTCAATTGTAGTGTAGTTCAGAGGTTACATGTAATGACAAATGCAAAAACTTTTCTGTGTGTGGGGTGGATGGATCCTCTTCCTTTTTTTTTAATGGAATAAGGGTAAAAAAAAATGCCTCTAACCTATTGGATCATATTATATACTCCTGTCTCATTTTTTTATGTTTTGTTGTTTGACTTGATACAAAATTTAAGAAACCTTAAAGTTAATTTTTCTAAGGAATTAGTGTCATGCAGACAAATTTTGTAGCTAAGCAACAAAATTCAGAAAAAATTGGTGGCGTCTTTATTTCATCTATTCTATCACTTTTATCAGCTTTGTGTTGCAAAATGTGAGATCTATTCAACCCCAAACGTTGTGTCCAGCTTCTCATCATCCTCTTTCCCATTTATGGAAAAATGTCATCATCATCAAGGTGTTCATCTTTAACAGTAGTAGTAGTTTTTAATTTTCCCTGGAGGGCAACAATTTACCTTTACAGAAAAGCTCAACTGCAGAGATCATGCTGTATACGAGGACGGAGCCTCTTTGTAGCCATTATTAATGTCATGCCACAAGGGAGATTGCCATATTAATTGGGGAAACCAAAAGAAAATATTATGACAATTCACACAGTGCTATTCCTCTTTATACTTATTTTGTTTGCAGTTATATTTACCCTCTTTAATAATTATTTGGTCAAGAAAACAAGTAACAACAATAATCTATAAAAATTAGTGCCCTTAAATTACTGAGCATTTTTCAGTAACACACTTATCGTTACTATTAAAATGATCAACAGGCAAGACAAATGTTATACAACAGAATGGTCAGGAGGCCATAAAAGGGGAACACATTCTGGTGCTTCAAGAGGGAGATCAGATTTCATACATCAATGATTTATTAACAACCACGAGTCCAGCGTCAATGTATAAAAAGTATATGAAATAATCAAGGGAATAAATGAAATAATAGCATTTACTTATAAAAAATAATCATCATTCTTCCCAGAACGCCGCCCTTGATCTTCAAGAACTTGTTGCTTGCACTATGAATGTAGTATGGAGGCATATCTCTTTTAGCTGACTCCAAAAATTGTCAGTCTTGCAACCTCTTTGCACCTTAAAGAATACTAGGATTCAGTAGTGAAGAAAAGCCTCTTCAAAGCTATCATCAATGTCTGCTAATGTTAGACAAAAAAGTGCATTAGATATTTAACTTCTGTCAAGGTGGTTTTCCATTATCTAAGTCCTCCATAACATCGATATCCTTGCGTGCTGTAATCTTCTGCACATAACCTGTAGTGACAAAGATTTTGTGTTAAAAAAAAACAGATTGCTCCACGATCTCGAGGACAAGCTGAAACTTCTTTACTGATATAAAGTGAGTTTTTGGCCAAATACACCCCTAATGTATACCACTTACTGAGACTACATCTTTAAAGGATCACTGTAAACAAAGAACATCCTTCACATTTTTGGAAATGAGCATGTTTCGTTCTGCCATTACCCATGGTAATAAACCTAACAGAACCCTAAAAAGACACAGACAGGGCAGGTGACATTCGAAAATAAAATTACAAGCTTTGCAACTCCATTCCAGATACACACTGATCCTTAACTACAAACAGAAGACTTCAGAGATGCTTGAAGTTGGAACTAACACTGCTAAACCACTTCGACCATGCTTTCAACTGATCCTTATAACTATTGAGTTGTAATTGAGCATGATGAAGATGAGGCTTCAATAGAATGATCTTTCAAATTGTACTAGAATGTTACTGTTAATTAAAAAGTCCGGCCAACTCATCCATTTCACAGCTACAGGCTACTGGCCAAGTTGAACAATTAGGACATGTTGCAGAAATGCAACATAAACACAGTAATTAAAAAATAACCATGACCATATTAAAATCCATTTCACCAGTATTATTCACCAAAAAAGATTCAGTCACACCAACAAATTTAGAAGTTCTGTAACAACTTATTCAACCACATTCTATTTTTTAAGAAAATTATCTGAAACTCCAGAAATGCAGAAAGTGGTAAAACATGCCAGAAAATACAAAAACCACAAAAATACTTTTGGAGTATGTAGAGACCTAAGTCGATAAGAAATTAACCCTAAATAGTTCTTCATACCATATACTCCAAATCAGCAATATTTTCTTTGTTACGAAAATAGCAACTCTTTTCTCCTAATTGACTGTGTCCCCATAATTTTTCTTTCCAATCAACAATGGTGAAGCAGGCTGATGTTTTAAGAAAATGTCACGTGTCATATACGGGATTTTGTGGGGGTCCGTTAGTTTTGTAGCAGTAAAGTAATGGAGGGATGAAAACAGCTCACTTTAGAATACAAGGATGCTTTTTGTTCATAAGTATATTTCAAGGATGTAATCCAAGTAGTGCGTATACAATAGGGATGTTTTTGGTCAAAAACTCGAAAGAGTTCTCACTATGAGAATCTGTAGTTTCCCTGTCACTCTGATTGCAAATTATAGAAGTCACTGGCCACTTCAGTGTTGCTCTTTCTCAATTATTTTCTTTCTGTCATGTACTCTGTTTTAGTCCATAAAGAGAACATCTGAAGATCTCAAGAGAACTGAGGCTCGTACCTTGTGGGGTATTTTATAACTGACATCCATCCTTTTACAGAGTTTAAACTCACAAAAACCATGAGAGAGAAATTGTAATGAACCTTTTGTCTTCACTTTCATCAAAGGGATATGAGTTCCAGTCTTCAAGAAAATACAGAAGTGTCAATTGTCTTCTTTTCAGTCAGCTAATTGTATCCATTCTTTACTTTCTCGTTTAAGCTGGTACTAAAGCAGAAGAAGCAAATAAAGGAAAAAAGAAGGTAAAAATTCTTTATTTAATTTTTCTAGTGGTGTTGAAGAAAATGCACTTGTTCTTGACAAAATTTATGTGTACAAAGAGACAAGTATTGGTCATGCCCTACATAAATCTCCATGTGCACCGATGTATAGGTGCATGCAGCACTATAATGATTGAAGGTACTAAGCAGGGGCAAGATAAACCTAAAATCACATGAAGCTTTGGTCATTCTTTTGGTTAGACTTATATTAGCTTGTTGTTTGTCATGAATCCTTCTAGTGAGGTTACAGTAAGTGTGATATCTAGAGAAAGTGAGAAACTACATTTTACCTTAAAAATTTAATACACAAGAAATTAGCTTAATTAGTCATGCAATTTCATAACAATACTAATTTATTTTAAGGATTGCTAAACTTATACTCTTATTCCACCAGAAAATTTAATGTGAAAATCCCATCTAACTGCATGGGTGAAGGAACTGCAATTATTGCAATACCTTGACTAATTTGCTGACATATTTTTAGTTTTCCTTAATAGTGCATCTTTGCTCTCTTTATTTTTGTACCTTAAATGCACACCCCCTTAACACTCTGTTTGGATCATTGTTACCCATTGTTTCATAATGTATTATATTGTATTGTAATCTATTGTATTGTACTGTATGGTAGATACAATGTTTGATTAGACTGTATTGTTTGTTGTTGTTTAATAACATTTTTATTGTTTGATTTGACTGTATCGTATTGTATTGTAATTTATATATTTACTAAAATATCCTTAATTATTCTAAGGTAGGAGGTTTGACTAGAATTAAATAATATAGGGTAAAGGGTAAAATAGTATTATGAAATATTATGTAAGGATATAATTGAAAAAAGAAATTAAGTAACAATGGGAACACACCAAATTGGTTGTTCCATAGAATGGGGGTTTTCATTGTTACGTAACAACGAAATTTAACAATACAATACAATACATTTTAAGTAACAATCAAAACAAACATTGTAGGTATGGTAACGATACAATACAATACAATGGGTAACAATGATCCAAATAGAGTGTAATGCTCATGTTCTTATTTTCCTTCTCAAAATCTACCTTAAAAGTACAACTCCCGCAGTTTTAATTTGTTTGTCCTACTTTTCTTTTTAGTCCGTTTCAAAAAATATGCCTCTTTCCTTTTTGGCAACTCTTTAATTCTAACTTCCAACATGGTATGTTTAAGACCACAAGATTAAAGGGTATTTTGGTATATTCTACATATCTTTAGTATAAGATCATAAGATTCAAAAGTCTTCTTTACTTTTTCAAACTTCATGCCGAGTCAAACCCGGACAAACATATTGATATGGAGAGAGTAAAAAGGATGAGCCAAAATCACAACACATTTCTCAGCTGTCAGCATATGTACAACAACTCAACTAAACATTATGAGTATAACATATTCAATATGAAACCAGAATAGTATTAGTATGAAGGAGGAATATGGAATGATTTTGTTGCCATCAAAGGCCTTCTTACTCCTTCATGATCACTTGGTCTGTAAGTTCCTTTAAGAACTTCCTACTTTTTCCCTCACCATGCTATTCCTATCTCAAAAAATTCACTAAACATCTCTCTCATCCCACTCCCGATTTCTGTCTCCTGTTATCATTTTCTTATTGCTTTTCAAGTTACTGAAATTTAAAACAACTATTCTTCACTCCCAAAAAAATGGACACAGATTGTGTTCTTCCCAAAGGAAATCCGTTAAGGAATCTGGAGAAGATCCATATAATTGGAAAAGGGCCTTTCCCTCAATGGTCCAGGGTGGAGTCAAACAAAGTGACATTTAAATGACTTAAGAATCATTCCAGAAACCAACCTCTGGAAGGGCCATACTCATATACTCAACCAGTGGCGGAGCTACAGTGTGTCAAGAGGTCAAGTGAACACTCTTCGCCGAAAAATTATAATGTGTATGTAGCTCAAATGTCATTTTGAACGAATAGATATTTTAGTTTAGAACAGCTCGACACATTTGAGATACGGCAAAGCGATAAAGGGTGTTCAAGATGGGGAGTGTTTCACGGGTTCGAGTCTGTTTTTCATCCGTCCCTACCCTTGTCTTCTTCAAACTAAAAAGGCTAAGGGTGTCTTGTTGACATTTTTTACTCTTTTCTTCAAATCTAACATTTTTTCCTCTTTCCTTCTCTCTTAATTTTTGTTAAATCTTAACAACAATAGGAACTATGGAAAAATATTAAGTGAGACCAATTGGACCGCAGTTATATATTAGTTTTGTGACAAGAAAACTCAAGGCAGAATATTTCGTCACAAACAACATCTAATTGGGTCTTCCAAAATTGTCTCAAAGTGTACAAAATGTCCGGAGATTGTGAGAGAAGAAATTAAAAAATATGTAGATGGAAAAAAGGAGTGAAAACGACATGCTATATTTCAATCGAATGTGACTAATCTTGATGATGAAGAAGAAAAGAAAGATAAAGTTGTCGATTTGTATATTGCTTTAAAATCACAAAAACAATCACAAAATGCAACAGTCTCTTCAAGTTACGGATCAACGGTAGAGAGGGACCTTTAGATTGTCACTTCCAGCAGAAGCCAGGAGAGGATGTTGGGAAAAATGTTAAAAAGAATTTGCGACATATGACCAAGAGACTTTTGAGGGAACGTATAGTTGCGGCCTTTTAAGGTGGATGTACGAAGCAGGCCTCCCCTTCAATTGTGCCAATTTTACCGACATTTCTAGAGCATTCATAGAGCTTGTCAGCCAATGTGGTCCAGGAATGAAACCTCCCACTTGGCATGAAATTAGTGTCAGTTATCTAAATAAAGAACTGGAAGAGACAAAAAAAGTTATGGAGGATCATTGGGTAAATGGAACAAGTTCATATTTTCTATTATGTTGGATAAATGGATGACAAGAACCGAAAAAATGATCATTAACATGTTGATGAATTCTCCAAAAGGAAACTAATTCATTGATGCGAGCGACTCGTCTACTGATTCTATCAAAATATTCTATGGGTTCGAAACACTATTAAGATGATTGGAGCACAGAATGATGTTACAAATAATGCAAGTGAAAATGTTAAAAGAGGTAATAAACCTTCTTTTTCGTCATCCTAAATGTTCATTTCTAGCAATTGATCCATAACTTGAAAAGATTGTTCCATTTAATGATTGTTTTTGTGATATTGAAAGAAGTGACAAATCAACCGTTTCACCATCCTTCCGTTTCTTCATCATCACCAAGATTAGCCACATTCGGTTGAAATAAAGCATGATGTTTTAGGTCCTATTTTCATTGACATATTCTTTTAATTTCTTCCTCACAATCTTAAAAATTTTCATACACTTTGGGACATCCTAAGAAGACCCAATAAGATGGTGTTTGTGACGAAAGAGTGTGTCCGAGTTATTTTATCACAAAACAAATATATAATTGTGGTCCCATTGGTTTCACTTGATTTTTCTTAAATCTTAACAACAATTAAAATGGGTGACCCACTAGGAACTATGGGAAAATATTAGGTGAGACCAATAGGGTCGCAATTTATATGTTTGTCATGTGACAAGATAACTCGAGGCTGAATCTTTCGTCACAAACAACATTTGATTGGGTCTTTTAGGAATATCGCAAAGTGTACAAAATGTCCGAAAATTGTGAGGGAAGAAATTAAAAAATATGTTGATGAAAAAAAAGAGCTAAAACGTCAAGGCTATATTTAAACTGAATGTGACTAATCTTGATGAAGATGAAGCAATGAAAGATGAGGTTGTTTATTTGTCATTTCCTTCAAAATCACAAAAACAATTACAAATGTAACGGTCTCTTTTAGCTATGGATCATTAATAGAAAAGGACCTATAGATTGTCAATTCTTGGTAAAAGGAATTTGCAAGATATGGCCAAGAGAGTTTTGACATATAGTTGCAACCTTTTTACAATGGATGTACGAAGCAGGGCTCCCCCTCGATTGTGCCAATTAAATCGACATTTCTAGAGCATTCATAGAGGTTGTCGGCCAATGTGGTCAAAGAATGAAGCCTCCCGTTTGTCATGACATTAGTGTCAATTATCTAAACAAAGAAGTGGAAGAGACAAAAAAATGTTATGAAGGATCGATGGAACAAGTTCATATGTTCCATTATGTTGGATAAATGGATGACAAGAATTGAAAAAATGATCAATGACGTGTTGGTGAATTCTCCAAAAGGAAACTATTTGTTGAATTGATTGATGCGAGCGACTTGTCTACTGATTCTATCATTCTATGGGTTCGGAACACTATTAAGATGATTGGAGCACAGAATGTTGTTACCAATAATGCAGGTGAAAATGTTAAAGCAGGTAATAAACCTTCTATTTCGACATCCTCAATGTTCATTTCTAGCAATTGATCAAAAGATTGTTGCATTTAATAATTGTTTTTGTGTGCTATTGAAAGAAGTGACAAATCAACCGTTTCACCTTTCTTCCATTTCTTCATCATCACCAAGATTAGCCACATTCGGTTGAAATAAAGCATGACGCTTAACGTCATTTTTTCATCGACATATTTTTAATTTCTCCCTCACAATCTACGAAAATTTCACACTTTGAGACATCCTTAGAAGACCAATAAGATGGTGTTTGTGACGAAAGAGTGTCTGAGTTATTTTATCACAAAACAAACATATAATTGTGGTCCTATTGGTTTCACTTGATTTTTCTTAAATCTTACCAACAATTAAAATGGGTGACCGACTAGGAACTATGAGAAAATATTAAGTGAGACCAATAGGGTCACAATTATATGTTTGTCTTGTGACAAGATAACTCGAGGCTGAATCTTTCATCACAAACAACATCTGATTGGGTCTTTTAGGAATGTTGCAAAGTGTACAAAATATCCGGAAATTGTGAGGGAAGAAACTAAAAATTATGTTGATGAAAAAAAAGAGATAAAACGTCAAGGCTATATTTAAACTGAATGTAACTA